ATGTTGGAGACACAAAATTTTCAAAGAAGGGAGAGGACCACTGTTAAAGATAGATAAGAAAATAACATTGGATGACAGAGAAGGCAGAATTACCCAAAAGAAAACAGAAATAGTCAGTGGGGAATTTAAACCCATGTTTTAAATTGAAGATGTGGTATGAGATGACTTAGCTATCTTTAATAAGTACCTATCAGTATAAGCAGAGAAAATTCATATAGAGCTGGACAAGTGCCATGAGTCAAGAGATAGACAAATTTGCTACTTTTTTTTTTTAAGAAATAAGGAATGTTCTTCACTTTAGAGATTGGTTAACTTGATATCTATATTTGAAAAATAACTCCGATACATATCACTAAAGGCATGGCTTATGAGAATTTAAAAAGGCAGATAGTGACAATAAGAAGAGCTCGGTCACCAAAAAAGATCATGTCAGACTATCATCTCCTTTTTTGACAAGATCATTTAGTTTGGCAGATCAGAAAAATAATAGAGAAACCTTATACTTGGATTCTTTCAAGGCATTTGACAAAATTTCTCAGAATATCCTTGTGGGCAAGATGAGCAAGATACAGGCTATAGATAATGGAGTAATTATGTGGATTTGGAAGTGTTTGAACAATCAGATGCCAAAAATGGACTGAAACTGATCAAGATGGAGGGAGGTCAGTAATAGAGGACCAAGGGCCCTTTCTTTGCTCTTGTTTTGTTCAATTGTTCATCAGTAGCTTGAAGAAAGAGACCTTATTCATAGTAAATTTCAAAATAACCTAAAGCTGGGAGAAAAACCAAATGTGTTACATAAAAAGCATCTATGTCTAAAAAGATATTCGTCAGCTTAGTTTGTTGGGTAAAATCTACTATGATGACCAAACCTAGTAGGTGTGCCATTCATTTCCACTGATGGAAAAAGAAGGCAATGAACCCACAGACAGTTCTATGTTACTCCTTACAGGTATGAAAATGATGACAACATTTACCGAGGGTAGATGTAAAGATCTACACTTGGGCACAAAATGATCAATTGGATAAATGTTGGATGGAAGAGTGAAGCGCTCATTGGTCTGCTAGTTCATGTGAAAAGGGATGAAGGGTTTTGTAAAATGCATGTTCAGAATGTTAGTCCAAATCTGACATGACAGAAAAAGGAGCATTGTGTTCATTTCTAGATCCCTTATTTTAGGAAAGACAGTGACAAACTGAAGTATTTACAGATAAATGCCAAGATGATAAATCGGCAAACTGGCTTGTTTTATGAAAATGGGGAAATGTTTAGACTAGACACAAGAAGACGTGGATTATGGGTTTTTCTTTTAAATTTGTGAAAAGCCTGATAGCTTTTATATTATAGAAGATTTTATATTATGTTATATATTCTATTTTACTATAATTTATTTTATATTATAGAAGCAATCTCTCTCATTCTGACATCTTGGGGAAGAACTAGGAAAAAAAGAGGTTAAAGTTGTTGAGAGGTAGACTTCAGTTTAATACAAAGTAAAAAAAATTCCAATAATTTGAGTTGTATAATATGGAATGGGCTATTTGGTAAAATAACAATTTCTCCATCACTGAAGATCTCCAAATGAAGCCTAGATGAGCATTTGTTGGGTATAGCACAGAAGAAGGGGATTTCTGTACAGATATGAGATGCTTCCTAATTGTGTGGAAATGACCCTGCGTTCCTAAATGATATGTCAGCATATCACAACTTCTGCTTGGATCTATACAGCTAAGATATCTTCCATTATGGGCCCCATGGTGAATTATATGTTTGGTATTTAAGGTCCATCTGAGCTAAGTTCAAAAATGTTCTTTACCAAGTGGGTCACAGGGTCAACAATATTTTTGGCCGTAATCGCTAAGGCTCTCAAAAAATATCTTTTAAACTAAATTGAGGTTGTGAACTGTATCAGTGGAGAGATTACCTATGCTGACAAAATTACTGGTCCTTAAAGTATTGAAGCAAGGTCTGGACTAGATGAATTCTGATATCCCTGCCAAATTGGGGATTCTATTCTTCTATCAGTGGGGGTCAGCATTATGGTGAGAAATGGTATAATTAAAGGAATGTAAACGGATGAGTCATGAATTTTTCTATTAGTTCGTTTGGCCGTACTGTTTAATCTTACTGTTTGGTTAATCATACTGTTGCTTATGAAAGGGAATTTGTAACTAAAGGAAAGACTTTTGGCAATGTGGGAACAGTGGAATAGTAGCTACAGCGATGAAACTGTAATAAGTCTCTTAAGTGATTGTCTAAGATACATTGTATAGGACCTTGAATGTGCATAGGTCATTTGCTTCTACATTATGATAGCAGACAAGTCAAGATTTGTTCTGTGAAGTTTGTATTCAGTCAAAGGGCCTCACCTGAGAACCTAGAGAGCCACATGAGGCCTCGAGGCCGCAGGTTCCCTTCCCCAGACATAAGACTAAGATTAGACAAGGATCTACTTTTGTAGGGCTTAGAATTTAGTTAGGGTAAACTACACAGAAGGAGCAAAACAAGGGACTTTAAAATATTATATTTTATAAATGCACTTCTTCTAATATCAAAGAAGTTCTCCTTTATTTGGTTTATGAGTATTACTTTTCTGTGTTGCATTGTCCTTGTGTATAATTCTTTTTTACTTTTGATTTTACTTTCTTGCTACTACTACATTTCTAAATGAAAATTAACTCTGTTAACAATGATACAAAAAGGAAGAAAAAGGGAAAGAAAAGAGATCCATGAATGTTAGTTTGCTTTATCCTGAATGCACTGACCTACTTTTCAAGATCTCACTGTTAAAAATACAAAGAAAGGTCAAGATTTAGTAAACACTTGGAGAGGCAGAGAGGAAGATCTCTGGATGCTTTCCATATTTATGTGATTGAGTCTAATTTTTTCCTAAATTTCTAAGTGTGATGACTCTAAATAACTTCATTGGTGCTCCTTGGCTATTCTTTTTCTCTTGAATTTTCTCATTGATCATAGATTCATGCTGAAGTGTAGTCTGATTTCTTTAACTAGACCATTTAACCTAGAAAGCAGAGCAAGGCCAGCTTTTTAAAGACAATCCTTTTAAGAGGTGGCCAAGAAAATGAAAACAAAAACAGATAAAACCCTAAATGGTACACCAGGTAACAACTGCTGAGTAATGCAAGAAAACTGTCCCAGTTCCTTGTGCGTTTTTTCCCCCCTCTTTTTGTTTCTTCAATAACCACATTACGTTGGCAGTCTTCCTGGAATCTATAGTAAAAGAAAAGTGATAACCATGACTTTGGCGCCACCTGCTGCCAGTTGTGTATCAATGCACCCTTCTTTGAGGGTTGCTCAGATAATTCTGATGGCTAGATGGTAGCACAGAGCAGGAGGGGCCCATTTGAGCTTCCTTCACAAGATTAAATAAAATTTCCTTTTGACCTGTAGCCACTGCTGGCTGTATGGTGAATTTCTTACAAAAATAAACATAAATTCACAGTAAGATGGTTACCATCAAATTCCTGTCTTCTATCAAAGCATCACATAAGCATGAGGAATTTAAGGTTATTGCTCCAGTAAGCCTGAAGATGATAAATGATGTGATGATGTCTCTCACACACATATATGTGTGTACATATATATATATATATATATATATATGTGTGTACATATATATATACACATACACACACACACATATATATACATATACATATATACACACACACACATATATATGTATATATATACACACACACAAACATATATGCATATATGTATATAAACAAATATACAAATATATACATAGGTATATATATATATATATACACACAGGTGTATATATGTGTATGTACACATACACATATACATCTAAGTCATTCTTTAATTTTTAAGCCTGTATTTATCTTGAAGGCCTCGAACACATTACATATGCCATATAATGTCAACCTCACCAAATGACCAGATCTTATACCATTTTCTAGAGGGAGGGAATGGATTCAAAACTAAAACACAGCAGCAATCTGGACCCCAGCACCAAGTATTAAGACAACAAAGGACCTTAGAGATATTCTAGTAATTCCTACATTTTACAGTTGAGGAAACCAAATCTCAGGCATAGGTGAAGGGACTTGCCCATCTTCATCCAGCACAGCTAAGATTAGAACCTAGGGCCCTTGATTCCCATTCCAATGTACCTTATATCATCCTGCCTCCTCTTCTACCATTTTTTGAGCTCAAATCTTATCAACCTAGATGACCCTAGCTCTAGTCTTTGTTGTCCTTTCCCAGCCTTTCTTAATAAGCTATCAAAGCCATGGTGAGGGCCTACAACATTTGAAAAAGCTGGTGCTTCAGTTTCCTGTGCTTTGCACATAGGCAATGCTTAATAAATATTTCATTCATTCTTTCAGTTGCCCTTTGTCTAAAGATGTACAGATCACAAGTCTCAGGAATGAGTGCAAATTTCCCACAACAGTCTTAGCCTAGGGGCTCTGAGTGACTCACATAACTCATTTTAAGAGATTCTGCTTTATTCTATTTAACAATATACATTTTTTTCAATAGTTACAAAAGTATCCTGAAAACTGTTCTCCTCCTTTTGTGTAGATGATACACGTCCTGAACTTTGAGAGTCTCCAAACATGTCATTTTATTAGAGGTTGACATGAACCAAAAGACACTAGGGGGAAGGGATGAGGAAAAAGGGAAAAACAGATCTTTTCAGTGCTGCAGATTTTTAAAATCAGGGGACAAAACAAAGGGCAGGCATAGATGGTTTGTGATCTGTATCACTGGAGGAAACATTCAATGAAGATCCATTTGAGTATTTTAACAAAACTCATTGATTAAACCATAGAATTTCCATGAACAAGAGATATATACAACATGAGAAAAACAGAAGCAAATTTGTTACCACAATGTGAATATTAGAGGTGGGAACATTAAAATGAAATCACCTAACATTTTCAGGGCACACTCATTGTATGATCATAATATAAAAACAAAGAAGAGTTATCAGAAGAAGATGCCATACCTTTTTGCTTGAAGTGCACGGTGGTGCCAATTTCTAAAAAAAGAAACATTTAATACAACAAGAAACAAAACAAAACAAAAACAAATTCTTTATCAATGCAGATTAGTTAGGACAAGTTTGGTACTCTCCATTGCGAAGAGAGAGAAAACATAGATAGTTCAGTTAGGAAGAGATGATCTAGCTTGGCAGTCTCTAATAATGCAAAGAAAGGGATAGGCAATGAGATTCCGATTTGTTGGAACAAACACTATGAAATTGAAGAATCCCCCTTCAAATACATGTGAATATAAAATTTATATTCACGGATGGCATAGGACATGAACTATTTATCAAGTGCCTTTGGTTTTAATTTGTTCAAATTTAAACCATAAAATGTAAGTAATTTAACATAACTTTTTAAAAATTGTATGTGAACCTGAAATATGTCAGTAGGACCATTGAACCTATCACTGTTCCCTAAAAAATTAAACCTGTATCTTCAGATAAAAAGTGATATAGAAAATACAATGGGGTGTGTGTGTGTGTGTGTGTGTGAGAGAGAGAGAGAGAGAGAGAGAGAGGAGAGAGAGAGAGAGAGAGAGAGAGAGATTAGTACTAAGCAAAAAACAAAGAAACAAAAACTCTAAGGATGTACAGAACCATTAATATCTGTTTTGGGGGGTGGCAAAGAATGGGAATCTGAAAGGGTGCCTATAAATTGAAGAATGGATAAACAAGTTGTATATAAATGTGATTGAATACTATTGTACTGAACTCTTATCATAATAACCACATAATAACCAAACAGGATTCCAGAGGACTAAAGAGGAAACATGCTAACTACCTCCTGACAAAGAGGTAAAGGACTCAGAATGCTAAATGAGAATTTTTTTGGACATGGGCAATATGGACATTGGTTGTGACGATAAAATGAGTTATTATTTGTAACACTGTGCCTAGGCTTAATAAATGTTTATTCCCTTTCCTTATAGTCATGCTAGACTCATGTGAAATATTGTGCACCCCATCTAACACAGAAGACCAGACACAGTATTTTTCATTATATAAGACAGTGAACCCTCTACTGAAATCTTACTAATTCCTCTTCAAGATTCTACATTCTCTGACTCTATATCAATGGAATGCAAGCTACCAAATTGTTCAGACTTCCAGGATGGGCCCCAATGGTAGATTCTAGATCCGTCCTTCAAGTACTGGTCAAGCTGGTCATAGTGTTTCAGTAACTTTTTGGTTGGCAATCAAAAGATGAAAATTTTGGCCACAGAAGCTCATGAAAAACTCTGAAGTCATGAAGGGGTTATGATCTATGTTGATTGGACAGTGTACCCAGCCAAGAAAATCATGAATATTTTTTAAAAATATGAATACTACAGTGGTAAGCTTTCAGTGGTAGTCATTACACTTCTTCTTCATTCTCTATACATACTAAGGTCCATTTGAGGAATCCAGATAATTTACAGGTTAACTAGTGGCTCATATCTAGTTCATGCTTTCAAAAATGTAGCTCGGGGTTCAGGCAACTGGTTTATGCTAAAGTCCATGGGTCATTTAAAAAAATTCAGATAGAACTTTCTCAAACTGGGGGTGAGAGGATGGAGTTGACCTTAAAAACAGCTTCACTCTTCCATGGAAGTTTTTTTTTTAATTTAAAATTTAAAATAAATTGTTTCATTGGTTTAACTGTTGTTGAATTCAACAAGAATACTTTTTAATTAACTTCATTGTCTCAAGCCAGGAAATAAGCTTTTCTCTAACTTGACTGGGTCCTGCCTGCCAAATGCAAATTAGACAGTTTCTGCACACAGGTCTTAACATAAACACAACTTGGCTGAGTTCTAAGCCACATTTTGGGAAACACTAGGATAGATAATCATTTGGAGGAATTGGATTAGACAGCATGACTACTCTTGCACTATGGCAGGAATTAGACTAGATTACCTGGGAGTCTATTCCATATCTGTTTCTTTAAGTGAATATAAGATTCTTTGTTAATGATGAAGCGACACTCATAAGTGAAGCTTTATAAATATATACGAGTACATATTGACGGTATCTGAACCCTTCAGTCCAACTTTATATCATTGGGGAAACTGAGACACAGAGAAGGTAAATGAATTGCCTAGAGTCACACAACTAGCAAGTATCTGAGGAAGGATTCAAACTTAAGTCTCCCTGACTTTGAGTTTATCATTCTATCCATTAGCCTGACTCCCTTATTTTATAAAAGAGGACGTAAGAACTCAAGGACAAGTTACATGATTTGCTCAAGGCCATTCATCAAATTTATGACCAATCAGAACTAAACACTAAGTCTCCTGATTCTGGGTCCAGTGGTCTTTCCGTTTCACCATTTTTTATTGATGCTGTTGCTGTTCAGACATTTCAGTTGTATCTGACTCTTCATGGCCCCATTTGGAGTTTTCTTGGAAAAGATGTTATAGTTTTTTGCCTTTTCCTTTTCCAGCTTATTTAACAGATGAGGAAACTGAGGCAAACAGGTTTAATGACTTAGCCAGGATTATACTGTTAGTAAACATCTAAGACAAACTTGAACTCTGGGAGATGAGTCTTCCTGATAGGCCTGGCACTTTTATCTACTGTGCCACCGTGCTGCTCTTAAATGTATCGGGTATTTTCACCTTGTTTGGATTTAGGGTAGTTGATATGTCCACAGAAGATGACCTGGCATGATTTCTTTGGAATGTCATATTCAAGGGGCAAGGCAGAACTTGAGTTTCACAATGCAGAAAAGAAGAAACAAATACCAGAGCAAAGCCATGTCAGCTCTTTGGGCTTTAGTCATCATTAAAAAGAAAATTATGAAAAAAACCCAAATAAAATAAAATTCATTTTTCAGCCAGTCTTTTGAAATTTTTTACAAGTGGCATTCAAGTTGATCCTCTTTCTGATTATTTCTACCTTTAAATCTTATAGAGTCTATGACCAGGGTTTTAGTGAGATAAGCATTTGTATTATGAACAAACCTGATTTACTATGAAATTGTATGGACTCTGTGCTTCGTCATTGTAGTCATTTCTTTTTGTGACAGAATCTGTGTCATTCTGGTGCTATCTTGGTCACCTCTAGTTGCTATTATATCAGTGCTATACATCAAAGATGAGGCATAATGCAAATCAATGAATTTTCTGGGCATATAACAAGAATCATAGCTTCATTCCACAGTTATTTTTCAATCTTGCTAGTTAACATGGATCAAATTTCCCTAGTGAGAATTGTCATTGTTTATGTTCTGATTGGACCTATGATTTTATAGGCCTAGGGATTCTCAGACTAATTCAAACCAGATCTTTTCTGCTATTTCTAATCTGGGTTGCATGGGACATTAAAAAGTTAAGTGACTTGCTCAAGGTCACCTAGCCTATATATGTCAGAGAAAATATTTGAACGCAAGTGTTTGTGGTTCTTTGGTCTGAGGCCAGCTCTCTATGTACTACTATCATACTACCTTTCTCTATGACATAATATGACAGCTACATTCTCTTTGAGTATAATAACAAAATGGGTATTGTTGTGATCCCACCTCTAGGACACCTCAAATTTTAAAATGAAGTTTTAAATCACATAAACACAGAAGATTAAGTATGGAGGCAACACATTATTGGAGTGCTGGCAGTGAAGTAACATGAAGGAAAAATACACATACATATGTGCCCACAAGCACATACATAGGCAAGCATAGGCAAGCGAGAGTGCACACAGACACACACACACATGCAGAGTCTTTATCTATCTACTGGTTTGTATATGAAATGGTAAAGGAATTCAGGCTAATGAAGTGTATCTTAGCCAAGCAGCAGGTAGGTGGCACAGTGGATACAGTGTTGGGCCTGGAGTGAAGAAGATTTATCTTCATGAGTTCAAATATGGCATGAGACACTTATTAGCTGTGTGATACTGGGCAAGTCACTTAACCCTGTTTGTCTCAGTTTCCTCATCTGTAAAATGAGCTGGAGAAGGAAATGTCAAATCACTGCTGTATCTTTGCCAAGAAAATCCCAAATGGGCTTAAGAAGAGTTGAACACAGGGCAGCTAGGTTGCCCAGTAGATAGAGCTCTGGCCCTAGAATCAGAAGGACCTGAGTTCAAATCCAGCCTCAGACACTTAACACTTACTAGCTGTGCGACCCTGGGTAAGGGACTTAACCCCAATCACCTCACCAAAAAAAAAAAAAAAGAGTTGAACATGACTGAAAAATGACCGATTAACAACAGCTCAGCTAACTTGCTTTTAGAGGAAAAAAATGAAGCCCACAAAGATGAAGCGGTTTGCCTTAGATCACAATGGGCAACGGCGAAGGCAGGATTACAATTCAAGGCCCCTGACTCAAAAGTCAATGCACTTTCCACTGCACCACAACTTTACTTTATAAAAGGGGCCATGTCGTCTCTACACACACTTATGTATCTCATATTATTTTGGCTCTCTGAAATACTGACTGCCAGAAATGAATGCCAAAAGGACTTTCAACAGCCAACTAAAGCCAGCCACAATAAGATCATGTTAGAATTCAGTTACAGAGAACATATGGGCAAATTCCCTTCTTGGGAAGACTACTTTTAATTAAATTATTGGGGAGAAATCATTTCAAAAAACAGGACATGGCCGTGCAGAAATATATAGAAATATAGAAAAGGAAACCTGAATCCATTATGGTAACTAATTGACAAAGCAGAGGTGATTCTAATACAGAGAGAGCTGATTGGCAAGGGAGTTAACTGAGTACTATTTCTGTCAGGAGAAAATAGACCAGATTCATTGTTAATCAGCACAGGCATCAGCAACAGCATTGCCAGTGTATGCCTAAATATAATAAGTCACCGTTTTCTTCTACAGGGCTAAGTCACATTCCTAGAAATGGAGATGAAAATCAGGGTCACAAAATCACAGGACCTTAAGACCTGCAAAGGACTCTCAAAGGCCAACTAGTCCAATGTTTACCTAAATAAGTATCCTTTCTATTGTGTACCCAACATGTCTTTGCCTGAATAACTTAGCCCCAAACCCCTAGTAT